TCCACTACAACGGTGACAACGAGTTGTCTTTGCTTCAGGACAGGGTGTCGAGGTACTTCATAGTCGTTGTGGATATGAGATCCACAATCATGGCAAACGGGGAGGGTTGTGTCAAAGCACGAACACTCTTGCAATGCTTCAGAGAGTCACCACATGTACGTGTGGACAGCGATGTGGAAGACAGTGCATACAGTCTAAAAGGAGTGGTCGAGTGGATCGAAGGGATGTGCGAAGAAGGAGACGTGGACATGACAATGCAGCAGACAGGGGGGACATATACACCTGCGAACTTGGGCAAGTTGTTGGGCCATGTCGCACGGAATGGGGGAATGCTGGTTGATGGGTCGAAGGACGAGTTGAAGAGTGGTGCTGCAGAAATATTGATGTTGTCCAAAATGAAGGACATTACTCAAACACCGCCAGAAGACTTTCAAGATGTTCCTGTCATTGTCGCAGATGGTGTGGAATATATTATGCTGGATCAACTTGTGGACTTCATGAAAAAGAGTGACGACGACAGGAACGTCATCCATGAGGCGTTGCACGAAGTGACGAAGTTTGCACTGCAGGGTCAAGATCTGATAGAATTTGTGCCAACAATAACAGCAGACAACATCATATCTGGCAGACCGTTGTGGGGGGGGGTGTTATCAACTGCTTTGGAGCGGCTCGGTCTTGCAAACTGCGATGTTGAGAGACAAAGAGAAAGAGAAGAAGGGTGGAAGGTGATGGCCACAGAAACAAATTTAGCAATCATTCCAGACAACGGACAGACATCAGCAGCACAAGAATCAATAACCAGTATGGCAGTCGATATGCCTCTCATGCAGACAGCAACGAGAAAGCAGCTAGTGTGTTGCGATATCTTTAATGCTTTCACAATGGAGAAAGAACATATGATCGTGGATTTGAAGAGGCCGATTTGCCAAGTTGTTGTGCAGAGTACACAGACAGTGCAGAAGAAGAAGATGAAGAAGAGGATGAGGGGGCATCATCTTCTGACGTGGAAGTGAGCAGCAGGGATGTCAGCAGCGACGAGGAAGACGAGGAACATGATGTATACTATGATTTGAAGGCTGCGAGTGGACAAGTGACAAAAGGGTGAGCACATGCAATTCTGAGGTTGGCACGTGCTTTTCCCGATCCGCACAAACTGCTGCGTGTTGTGATGAAGGGGGCAACACCAGATGGTGCACTACAGTATGCCGCAGTGACCAGCATAATGAAATCATGCAACAAGGGAAAAAAGTGGTCACGTGTTGGTAAGGGATGGTTTGTTCTGGTCAATAGAGAGGCTATGCTAGCAACGTCACTGACATGGGGAGTCAACCTGATTTGCCTCATACATGGCGCAATGGCGACAGCTTGGGGAGAGACATTGCACCCTGGGTTGTCAACAGGAGACGCAATAGTTAGTGCTCGGCCATGGCAGCGACCGGAGACACACCCACACACCACGACAGACCATGTTAGACATCAGGGATGATGACAGACATGCATCGCTCAACCTGTACATCCCTCTATGTCTGCCTCGATTTCAACGACGGTCGGGTTCACTACTGCGTGTCATATCAGTGTCCACCGATGCTGTTTGTTGTCGTTTTGACCCGCACTAGTAAACCTCCTTTCCCTCTCTCTCTATGTCTTTCTTTCTCTCTCTCTCTCTCTCTCTCTCTCTCTCTCTCTCTCTCT